TTTTTTTTTTTTTTGCATTCTCCCTCTCTGATATTGGAATGGTTGTAAATACATCAAAAATATCTTCCAACAACCAATTTAGTTGACAGTTTTGCTTTTGCTTTATTTTTTATTTTTTATCTCACAAATACTTTTAACCATTCTTAATCAGTTTTTTGTTAAAATTCTTTACTTTTTCATCTTTTTTTCTTTGCAAAAGACAAAATGGTGGTACTTCAGTTTTAACAAATAACAATGAAAAGTTTGTTTAAAGATCACGAAACATAATGGTGAATAGGGTGGGTGTGTATGATGGTTGATGACAATGGTAATGATGGTTATTACTGATGGATTGATAGATACATAATGAAGATGACTTTAGTGATGGCTAATAGTTGTAGTTTGGTAGTTGGCAGCTGATTGTTGGTAGGTAAGCAGTAGCAAAAACAACCAGAAGCAATATTAGTTGCTGAATTGTTGTATTCTGTCCTCCTCTTCTTCTCCTCCAAAACAATAACACTTCAGCAATTTATTTCATTTAGTATTTTTAACAGCATTAACAGTACAAAGCAACAGAATAAAAGAACCTCTTCGTTTAATAATAGTTCTTTAACCTTACCTTCAGTTCTATTAGAATTTTGTCATTTTTTTTCTGCTTTTTTTTTTTTGGTTTTTTTGCTGATATATAAGTGAAGGATTAACAACAAAACGACTATAAATTTGTACATTTACTGATGATTAGATTAATGAGACAGATATCTTTCATGAGAACTATTACTCTACGTTGAAATATTGTTTAAAACAAGAAAAAATAGTGTGAAAAACTGTATTCTAGTTGCCTATTTTTGACTACAGTTATACGTTATCTAAAACAACTACTTCTTCTTCTTCATCATCTTTTTCATTCTCGTCTAAAATAAAGCTGTTTTTTACTGTGTATCAAATGTTGGTTTTTTTTTCTTTTTTCTTATTTTATGAATACAACTGGATAATGTTTTATTGAAATTTGTCTTCAATATTTCCACAAAGAAGGAATTTTTTGTTTAACGCTTTTTTTACTTTGCTTTGCTTTGTTCTTTACCTGTTGCCTGCTTTTTCACATATCTTCTGGTTATATTTACATCTGCTTTGGCCATATATCTTTTCTAGAATACGTGCCTAAAAATATATCATTGAACTATTGGTACAGTTCTAATTGGTTGTAACATCAATGGTATTCACAGTGTTGGCTTTGTTCCTGAAGTTTACATACCATCTTTAAAAGTTACTTAATTTACCAACCGTTTGGTTTGGTTCATTCTGTATTCCTCTGTTTTTCTTCTTTTTTATTATATATATATTTTTTGATGTACAATTGAAAGATACCTGAATCTATCACCTGTATAACAAAGAAAAAGAAATAGCATCTGTCACCAACTGTATATTTTTATTGAACAAGTATGTAATACTTGTTATGTTGGCAACTGTTATTAAAAATGTTCTAAAAAAATGAGTGAAAAGAAAAAAGCATCAGTTTCTATTTTCTTCTGTTTATCATACAAAATGTTGGCAGTAAAATTAATAAGAAAACAAAATCAGAAAAAACTTTTTCTGGGATTAAATGCCACTGCAAAAAAAAAAAAAAAAAAGAGATTTGATGGTTTTTTCTAAGTCTTTTATAAATTACTATATTTTTTCTTTTTATTCTTACCTTTTTTTTTCTTTTGTTGAATACTCTAATCTGTTGCCCATTGCTCTGAATATATTCGACAAAATCTTTGTACCTGTATGAATTTTAAATTTGTACATAACGTATTCTTATCAAAAACCTATAATCTTTTTCTCTCAATTCTTTTTTCCTTTTTTCATTTTTTTTTTTTGCTTTTTGGATTTGCGCATCTTTTGTCACGCATCTTTAACAGTGAAATTTTTAGAAAAAGAAATCTATTTTTTTACCGCTTTTTAGCATTTTTCGGTGACTGCAGCTAATAATAAGTGAGCAAGAAAAGACAAAAAAAATTTTAAAATACTTGGATGTTTATAACTTATTTGGAAAAAACAACTATTTTTGCTATTTATTGAGAAAATTTTACAAAAGAAAAAAAATTATTTTTGTTGTTGCTTGCTTTAAAATTTTGGCTGTCTGTTTTGTTATATCATCTTGTAAATCTCATATCATTCTTTGTTGTATCTCTACTGAACCAAATAATTTAAGCAGTGTACAATAATTATTTTTAAATTACTGTCTTAGTCTGTTTAAGTAATTTACCAAAATTTTTGAAAAATTTAGTAATTTTTTCAAAGTTAACCATCTTTAACTGTTGCCACTGTTTGCCAAACAATTGGTTATCTGCCCGGATTATTCAGTATTTTGGAACAGTCAGAGTACAGATTAAGAATATAGCAGTAATGCAGTTTTTCGATACCGATATAGTCGGATTGGTTAAAGCAGCCAGCGTAGTTTTTGTCCAGGAAATACCGGTGGTTAGAGTAGGTGATATTCGTGTAACAGATGTATTATGAACAACGGCCATTTGTGGTCGGGTATTGATCTTCGAGCTCACATCGGACCGTTGTTGGGCTGTTACGGGTTTGGGCTTATGCGTAATCGAGTAGAGTCGAAGAAATTGGTCAGTTAGTTGCCGACTCGACTCATCTTCACCACTTCTAAAATCGTTCCGTCATTGTATCTCTTTAAACATCTATTTTTCTCTTAAATATGTTCAGTGAACTTTCGACCGCAATTGTTTATATGATTTTTGTAGGTTTTTTGTCTTGCTTATGGACCCGATCTTCATCTGTTTCCAGTCACGTTTTCAACGCTTTTTATTGAAAGTACAATTAGAAAGAAAAAAGTTTTCTCTTTGATTTATTCAATATTTATGAATTTTTTAATGACACACTTTTCTCTTTTTACAAAAAATTCTTTTTTTGTTATTGTTTTTTATCTATAATAAATACATGATTGTTTATAAATTATAAATCATGAAAGGAAAAGTTTAACATAATTTTTTACTTCTTTATTTAACAATAAATGAATAATTTAGCGTTTATTTTGCGAACTAAATAGGTTGTCAGTTGTTGAATTAGTAATAAATATAATGAAAAATTTTAATTGCTTATGAAATATTTATTTTGATGATACGTAAATAGTCTAAAAAACTTTAACAAAATTTCGCCATTATTAGGTAATCACAGTGCCTTCTTAGACCTTAAATGTTTTATTTACTTATTGATGCTAACTTTATTTTAATGACTGTTATCTACAAATTTATGTCATTATAAATTTTTCATATTTTTTTCTTGAGAAACTTATTGACTTGTAAAATATGCATACGTTAAACAGTAATTTTCTGGATTCTTCTAGTTCTTATCCTAATACCTCTCGTCTTATTTGACAGAGCATTTATTTTTCGTCTGAAGCTCTTCAAAGTAAATTTTTTACGTAAACGTTTTGCGACTGTCAGCTTATAATGCAATAAATTTAAACCAGCAACTGACAGTGATTAGACAGCTAGATTTAATCTTTATCCTAGTTTTAGGCTGTTAGACTTGATATAGCAAGTTGGCATAGTTCGCGATTCTTTCCCTTATAAGCGAGCCATGCGTTTGCTTGCCTTCACCGTATGGGCACTGCTGCAATGTAACTGCCCGTTACATGGTTCGTTTTCATTTTGCTTTTCTTTCTTGCTTAAAATCGTAAAGATAATTTATAGCAATATGCAATGAATGTATAAATTTTGTTTGCCGAAAAGTTTGAAGATTAAACTTTTAGCATTACTGGTAGCGGTCAATCAGCCATGTAATAAAGATCGGGATATTTTACTGCTAGAAGATCCAGACGGTAATGCAGGATCATTTTTAAAATGTAACGGAGTTGGTGTCGGGTATGTTTTTGACTTTGACATATCTTTTAAAAACTTGACTAACGATCCTCGTATGTTCTTTCGTTGTTCGGTATTTATTTAGCCAACTTTAGCTATATTTTACAATAATTAACCTTTGTTCTATTGAAATTGTCGCTAAAAGTTGAGAGTCAAAAATAAAACAAAATTATAAATATAAACTACTTATATTCTAGCTTTATTTGTTTTAAATGTGACTTCAATTTTTAAGCAAGAATATATCTCAAAAATTTAGAAGATTATTTGAAGGACTCGTAATTTGAGTGAGAAGTTAGATAAGCAATTAGACAGCAACATTCAGATACTAGTTTGTTGGGATTTAACTAACCGCAAAAATTTTTTTAATAAACACAAAGTAAAACTTTTTAGAACTATTGGATTTTGGGAAAGAAATATTTGCCCGAATAATCTGTTGTTCGATTTTGTAAATCAGCAATGTCGGAGCGATGTAAGGAGACGGAAAAATGAAGTAGAAGTTATCAACATTGGTATGCAGCCAATGATTTCTTTCACACTTATGATCGTCTGACATAAAAGAAATGTTTAAGCAATGTTTGGATAAAATTTTTTACAAATTTTTTTAAAAGTTACTTTGCTACTAATTTATTAACATAGATTACTCTTTGATAACATAACGCATCAAAAACCAGTTGTTTCTTAACAGCTTTTGGTGCTTCATTGTGAAATATATATTATTAAATTTATTATCTGTGTAGCAGCTATATGACAGGCTTCAAAATGGTGTATGAAAAAATTTAGGTAGAAAACTTTTTAGCTATTTTGAATAACAGTTGTGCTCGCGGTGAACGGTGTATTGGCGGAACTGTGTGCGACCGAAACAGCCTAAAATGCTTATGTCCATATGGAACAGTTCCGGAACTTGAAACTTTATCCTGTGTTCGCCCAGGATCGACTTTTAAGGCCTACACCACCATGGTTGCTATTTCTTTCTTCTTTTTTTTTCTTTTTTTTTTCAGAAAACCTTTTGAACTCATTTTTGCAAGATGAAACAAAGAGAAAGAAATTTATGCACATAAATATTTTTTGAAACAAATTAAAACTTATTGCCATCGGTTGATACAGCCAAATCAGTACGGACAACCACATATGTCGCAAGTTCAACCGGCTACATCGCCATATTATATTCCCGCAATAGTTCCAGCTATAGACAGCAGCCATAATCAGTACAATTCTCGTTCGTCGGTAATTGCACCGATGCCATTGCCGGCATTAGGTTAGTTCTGTTTTAAGTAATCCAAATTGTTACAGTTTTTTGATTTTACTGACAACTACAATATTTTAAAGATAATACTTTATTGTTATTTTTTTATTATGCTTTTATAATTTTCAGCTAAAAATTTTTGAGTAATAACTGTATAACTGCGTTTGTTGTTTTTGTTGTGTCTAATTTACATAAAACATTGCTCCATTTCTGTTTCAATTTACATTTTTAATTTGGCTCGTTACACTTTTTACTGCATTTTTTTTTTTTTTT